ACGAATTTGGGTAAGTTTCCCAACTTCCCTGCTCTTATGCTTCTTCAACCACAAAATGAGAAAATTGAACTCCGTGGCCTCTATGGCTACTCCCTGTTTATCTATGATTTTTTACCAACACAGGAAATGGTATGAGAATGGAATGATATCATCTTAAGAAGTGCAAGTAAATGAGTACTGAGTAGTCTTTGCGTGCCTACTATGTGGCTAACACTTTTGTTAGCACTTGGCATGAACGACTTTAATTGCTAGTATTATCCTAACGTTAGAGAAGAGAGAACTGAAGCACACAGAGGTTAGATAACTTGTCCAAGGTCACACAACTACCAAAAAGTAGAGTCAGGATTTGAATTCAGGCTTCAAATATTGTCATCCATTTTCCTCTATCAAGAAAGGATACAAACAAGATGGTAGATGGCTGGGAAAGCAGTAACTATACAGTCAGTTGTGAAGCTGGGAAAACTTCAGCTTGTTGGAAAGCTGAAGAGCCCAGAAAGATGGAGAGAGGAAATGCATGCCTTAATAAAAAGAGTGTGGGGACAAGGGTTCTCAAGAACAGAGAAGGGAATGATGGTCCTCTTCCTTTGTTTTCTGAGTGGATTGTTGGCCAAGGGTAAGGACAGCATCTCCCTCCCCTGGCAGGCTGAGATCTCCCCACAGAAAGGAACTGTCTCCCCTATCGACCCTCAGGACTGACCAGCTCCCACCTTCCCTTTATGTTCTTGGTACCTCCTTTCTGTCTCCACAGATCTCTGTGCCCTGGATTTCCAGTCACCTAGTAAATATTACTTTCTGCTTTCTCTTTGGAGTTCTTCCCCCTTCTCTGGTAGCTCCCTGGGGCCAAGGCCCTTCCTAGAGGCCCAGGGGGCAGGAACCCAGACCAAGGCTGACCCTGATCCTGTGTCTCTATCCGGGCCCCTACACAGGCCATGGAACTATTCACTGCAATCAAGGACACCCTCATCACTCGCCTCAGGAGGGTTCCCTGGATGGATGAGAAGACCCGGAAAGAGGCCCAGGATAGGGTAAGTCCAGGAGTGAGACACAGAAGTAAGGGTGGAATTGAGTTTTGGGCCCAGAGATCACAGTGACAGAAAGACAATGCAAAGGCACAAGAACACATGGCAATGTAAACACCAGTATGCCATATACACATCCTGGTGACAATATAAAAGGTGGGACTGGGGCAGTGAACACAAGAAATTCCCTTCGATAGACTTGGGGTAGCTAGGTTTCTTCTACCTTTTGTGTCTCTCCTCAGGTCACCCAACTGCAGGTGAAGATGGGGGGCCCAGAATGGGCCCTGAAGCCATCACTGGCCAGGGAGGAATACAACGATGTGGGTCCCTGCCCTTGCCAGCTCCTCATTAGTCCTCAGCTTCTCCTCACCTTCTGACTCGCCCAAATGGCAGGCAATCTGTTTGCCCTGGGCTATCCTAACTGACCCCTTCCTTGCCCTGGTGTTGGCTGGGTTTTATGGGTGAATATCCACACTGTGGGTCTTGCCAGCAAAAGAAAGGAACCTTTTCAGGTCACAATAAGTGTGTGTGCACACATGCACGCATACATTCTTGGGACTTGCCCGAGTGTGTTTATCTGTGCGCTGATTCATGTGAAGCCTGTCTGCGTCGATGTGGTGTCATTGTGCTGCTTTCTACTGTACTGCGGATGTCTATGTTGGGGCTTACTGTCTGTGTTCAGATGTACCCATCGGCATATATCAGTGTGCATCCGTATTTGTCTCTGTGTATCCGAGTCACCTCCTGCCTCCTCCCAGATACAGCTTGGACCCAGCTACCTGCAGTCCTTCCTGAGCTGTGTCCGATCTCTCCGAGCTAGAATTGTCCAGAACTTCTTGCAGTCTTTCCCCCAGCACAGGTATAGGAGCAAGGGAGACATAGACACTGCATCCCAGAAATGCCTATTCAAGATTAGCAGGAAACAAAGCTGGGGGCCTGAGGGAAAAGGAACAGTGACAGTAGTTGGGAGGGTGGGGCCTCCTATATGTCTGGTGGGCAGGGCCATACGTGACAGAGCTGGTGTTCATACGTGCTCTTCCCATAGGTGGCAGGTGTCCACCTGGGGGGTCAGTGCTTACTATTCAATATCTGACCATGTGGTGGTCTTCCCAGCCGGACTCCTCCAACCTCCATTCTTCCACCCTGGCTACCCCAGGTAGGGGCCGTTCTATGAGGGTGGGCAGGGGATTTCCCAAGGGCGATGGACAGACATTATGATGTATAGGATTCATGGTTGGCGAACTGGGGTCAAAAACTTTGAAGGACTCTCGGAGTAAGATAAACCTTTGTTTTCCCAGAGCCGTGAACTTTGGCGCTGCTGGCAGCATTATGGCCCATGAGCTGCTGCACATCTTCTCCCAGCTGTGTGGGTAACAGTGGGCCATTGGGAGGTGGGACCATTGGGAATCCAGGTGAAGGCCCTAAACGAGGCCAAAGGAAGAGAAAGGGAGGGCTCCAGGTGGCACAGTTAAGAATCTTTAGCAATGCTTTGGGGGGCTAGCCCAGTCTGTGGTACCCCCTGGTCCTCATCCTTACTCCATATCTCACCATTCCTTTCCCTTGCCCCATTTTCAACAGTACTCCCTGGGGGCTGCCCAGCCTGTGACACCCATGCCCGACAGGGGGCGCTGCTTTGCCTGAAACGCCACTACCAATCCATTCCGTTACCCAGCGGACTCTCCTTCAATGGCTCTTGGACACTACTGGAGAATGCCGCCGACATCGGGGGGCTGGCCATTGCACTGCAGGTAACTCCAATCCCAAGGGCCAGGATCTATTGAGAGTCATTCTGTCTTCACAGGTTTTTCCTTCTACCATCCCTTGTGCAAACATAGCTGTAAAGCCTCCTGCCCTTCACACCCTCACTGAGCAGATGGCAGTCTGGGAATCCCCCTCTGACCCCACAGATCCCTCTTTTCTAGGTTATCTATAGATCTCACAAGTACATTTTTTTTTCCTGGCTCAGACCAGTGTGTCTGTGGAACTTGGGCAAAAGGGCCATGAACTGGTTTTCGGCATTGTGGGTGGGGCATCAGACTTCTAAGTGGCCATGGGTCTAGAGTCTAAGGGTTACTTGCCATCCCACCCCCATATCCAGGCGTACAGCAGGAGGCTGTTAGGGTACTACGGAGAGACTATCCTGCCCAACCTGGACCTCAGCCCTCTACAGCTCTTCTTCCGAAGCTATGCCCAGGTAGGCAGCGGCCACCTCCCTCCGCAGCTCGCTCCATGTCAGATAAGTACCTTATTGGCAATGTTTGAAGAGGGGTGCCTCCCTGAAACACCTTCCCCCAAACAGCCCCAACCCTCTGCCACAGATGTCCCCGCTGTCATCTTTTCATACATGCTCCTTGGGACCATCTTTTCATATTTCTATAAATTCTTCTACCAAACTCATCACCCTCTTCAAAAACAGAAAAAAATTCTACTGCCAAATCCCTCTCTGAGATGAGCCCAACTTTTTCTTCTTTCATTTCTCCTAAAAAACGAACCTTCGACAGACTGTCTATAGACCATATTCCTTGTTGGAGACCTCACCCCTCCAGGTCCTCACATGAGTACCACATGCTCCCTCAACAGACACTGTCCCCAGTTCCTCAGTATACTTAAAGACCCCTCAGGGCGCTTGGGTGGTTCAGTCAGTTGAGTGACTCTTGATTTCAGCTCTGGTCATGATCCCAGGGTCATGAGATTGAGACCCAGCACAGAGCCTGCTTAAGATTCTCTCTCTCTCGGGGCGCCTGGGTGGCACAGTCGGTTAAGCATCCGACTTCAGCCAGGTCACGATCTCGCGGTCCGTGAGTTCGAGCCCCGCGTCGGGCTCTGGGCTGATGGCTCGGAGCCTGGAGCCTGTTTCCGATTCTGTGTCTCCCTCTCTCTCTGCCCCTCCCCCGTTCATGCTCTGTCTCTCTCTGTCCCAAAAATAAATAAAACGTTGAAAAAAAATTAAAAAAAAAAAGATTCTCTCTCTCTCTCTCTCTCTCTCTCTCTCTCTCTCTCTCTCTCCCCCTCATCCTCTCTAAAAAATAAAAATAAAAAAGACTCCCTCACGGAGTTTTTACAATAAACTCCACCTCCCCACCTTTCAGTCACTTACGAATGATCTGATTACACAGCCCATGCCCTCCCTCACACACATCCTACCAGATAAATGACCTACAGGGGCATCTAGGTACCTCAGTTGGTTAAGCATCAGACTTCAGCTTAGGTCATGATCTTGCAGTTTGTGAGTTCGAGCCCCATATCGGGTTCTGCACTAGACAGTGTGGAGCCTGCTTGGGATTCTCTCTCTCCATCTCTCTCTCTGCCCCTGTCACGTTCTTTCTCTCTCTCTATCAAAATAAATAAATAAACTTATAAAACAATAAATTACATACAAATGTGTGGCCCTATCTCTGCTCTCATCTCTGTCTGCTGTCCCTAGTCACTACACTGGCACCAGGTCTGCCTCGTCCTCCTGACCCTGATGGACCCTACTATTCTGCTCTTCTCCTTACCCTGCGTGGACCTCTCTTTCTCCACAGGTGATGTGTAGGGAGCCCAGCACCTGGGAACCCCAGGATCCTCACAGCCCTCCCATGCTTCGAGTACATGGGCCCCTCAGCAACACGCAAGCCTTTGCCAGACACTTCCACTGTCCGCGTGGTGCCCTCATGAACCCCTCCAAACGCTGCCAGCTCTGGTAACCTGGCTACCACAGAGACTCCAACTTAGATGTAACAACACCTCCCTGCCCCATCCATGGAATCAGACGCTATCTCCTTTCCCTTTCCCTTCCAAAAATAAAAGCTGGCACTTGGCTTCTGACTGTCCATTAATGACTCTTTCCTAATATGTTCTATGCCTAGAAGTCAGAGAAGATAAGAGGAGAAAATGCCAAGAGAATTCTGTAGACACAAGAAAAGCGAAGAAACCAATGGGTCTAAAGGTCAGTGGGCCAAAGGTTGGGTGATTAAACAGACCAGTTAGAGACAAAAGGGCTTTGGTTAAGTCTCAGAAAGCTGTCCCCAAATGTTTTCAGGACTTTACTGCTATTACTTTTATTGTTGCTGCCTCTTTCCCCTAATGTGCTGTCCAGAGCAGAGCCGGGAGAGGTGTGGGAAAGAGAAGGCTGTGGGTCTGGTGTCTCCGGCCCTGGGAGAAGGTGCTCAGAGCGTGGCAAGGCGGTCAGGCTGGGGCAATGGACAGTTGAAAGGCCAGCACCAGGATCTCTCAGATGCTGCATCCTGAGGTGATGAGCCACTGGCGAGAGGCAGGAAACTGTGTGTACGCCTCCCCTTGGGAGTAGTGACCTGGAACCCGGTGGGGAAGAGGGGGTCAGTAAGCTATCATGAAGCAGAAGTAGATAGCAAGGTCCTCATCCAGGAGCCAGGCTACCACCTCAACCTCAATGTCCCTCATAAAAAAACCATGATGCTGGCCAGATTGAAGCAGAAGGCTAGGTTAAATAGGTGGTCACGAAGGGCTGCTGTGTCTGATGTCCCGTCATCCTCTTGCTGAGCCATGTCCACAACCTGCCACATCTCCCCCACGGAGGAGGCCACAAAGTGCTCTTCAAAGTTCTCTTGATCCTGGTCTGCAACCGTGGAGAGGGGGAGGCACTGAAAGGGCCGATCCTAACCTGCCCCCGCCCCGATCCTGGCCTATACCAGAAAGGTGATGAAGTTAGAGAGTCTGAGAAGAAGTTAGGGCCTGGGGCTTTTGGCCCAATTGTGCATCCCCTTATCCTTGGCCAGGGAGGCGGTGCTCCATCTGGAGGTCTCCTCTGGTCTGTATTCAACCACAGCCCCAACTCAGGTGCGCACATACCCCATTTCTACCTCAAACGGCCTCCTGCAAAGCATTACAACACTTGGGGTTGGAGGGACCACCCCAGGGAAGGGATGGAAACTACAACCTCTTCCAAGATAAATGCACCCCTGCCCATACACACGAAAGCCACCTGTGTGGTGCTCTAGCCAGCCCGTGGTATGTCTCTGAATACGTCCCCCGCTAAGAACCCTGCTCTAAACCCTTTACCTGACTCTCTCACGCTACAATAATAAGGGACCGGGCTTCTCTCCCCACAACCCGACCTATCTCAGGTTTCACTCCAGCCTGATAGGAACTGGGGGGCTGACTCCAAAGAGGTCTGATCCCTAGCTCCAGACACTGTTGTCCTACCTGTGGAGGGTGTTTTCTCGTTCTGACTCCTCTCGTTGGGATCCAGGCTGCCTTTCTGAAGCTTCGCTCCCTTGACCCGCAGCAGCAGCAAGATGGCGGCCAGGAATGCTGCCCTGCAGAGCTGGGAGCCCAGGGAAGTCATGGGCCTGCCCATCCACCACCTTTGGTCTTCCCTACTCCCCTATGCCCAGTCGGCTCCCCCCACCTCCCTCCCCTGTCCCTGTCCCAGCCCTTACCACTTCCCTGCACCGTTTTCTTCCCTTCCCTTCCATAGGACCTCTGATGTCATGAGCTTTGTGACATCACAGCCATGGGCCTGCCCCTCATTCAGGTCACTAGAGAGTTCCCTTGCCAGGCAAGAGAGTGGTGAGTAGCCAGCAGAGGCTTCTAGGATGATCCTACTGCATCACCCTGTGGAGGGCAACAAAATGACTTCAGAGTTTGTGAAGTACTTTCACATCCATTACATCATGAGATCGATATAGCAACTGGGACTCAAAGTAGTAGTGTCATCATACCCATCATATAGATGAGGAAACTGAGGTTCACAAAAGAAATGACTCTTCTGCTTAACATCACACAGACAATAAAGGGCGGAGCAGGACTCTCGACCACCTCTTTTTGTTTTAGTGTATATTTATTTATTTTGAGAGAGAGGGAGGGAGAGAGAATCCCGAGTAGACTCCATGCTGTCGGTGCAGAGTGTAACACAGGGCTCAAACCTCAAGATCATAACCTGAGCCAAAATTAAGAGTCAGGCACTTAACCGACTGAACCACCCAGGTGCCCCTTGACCACCTCTTTTGATTCCAAACATCACAGCTTCCTCTCTTCCATGCAGCCATTCTCTAAGGTAAGTGGCTTGTATAGAATGTGGCCCAGAGCAGATGTGGAAATATCAGATCCTCAAGTCCTGGGCTGTACCTGAAACTCAGGTCCACCAAAACAGAGGAAGGTAGAGAGGCATAGGTGTTGGGGGAGAAAAGAGTACACGGTGTGTGTGCGTGTACGTGCACACAAACACACACACACACACACACACATGAATGTGTACATAGAGAGAGACAGAGAATGGGGTACCCTGTGCCCAAGCAGAAATCATTCCCTCATTCTTCACCCTCCCCTAGACTTTCCTCTCCCTAAGCCTTTGGCCTCTTGAACTGGTAGACAAACCCCTCTTCTCTCATTTTACAGCCCCTCATACTCTCAGACACAAAGAAAAAGTTGTTAGAGGCTCATTCTTCAAACTCCTTGCTTGATGGAAGCAGAGTCTTTTTTTTTAAGTTTTATTTATTTATTTTGAGAGAGAGAGAGCATGCATATGAGCTGGGGAGGGGCAGAGAGAGACACAGAAAGAGAATGGGCAGAGAGAGAGAGAGAGAGAGAGAGAGAGAATCCCAAGCAGGCCTTGCGCTGTCAGCACAGAGCCCAACGCGGGCTCTTGAACTCACGAGCTGTGAGATCATGACCTGAATGGGATCAAGAGTTGGACACTCAACTGACTGAGCCACCTAGGTGCCCTGTAGTTAGAGTCTAAAGAAGCAGCAGCATGGCAGTGAGGCCAGGATCCCAAATAACAGATTTCCAGAAACTTGCCTCAAAGCCCCAATGCCTGCCAGGCCTGTGAAGCTGGTGAGCACAGACCTGCTGGCAGTAATGGGCGGTGGCTAATTATCTGCTTCCCAGAGCAGAGATGGCTGGGGATGGGGCAGGTGGGATTGGGGAGGTAGGATAGAGTCCTGCCCTGGTGAACCAGAAAGCAATGCAGGCCAGGAGCTACAGGGCAGGTGCTGGGGCAGGTGGGAGGAGATTGTGGGCACACTTGAGCTATCACAACCCTCTCACACCACTCGTGGAGCCCATGCATCCCACGCCTGAGTGAACCACCAAGTGCATGTGCAGGAACGTGTACCCTTTCTGGAAGACGGAATTGTAGACGTGGAGTACAGCTGGACCTCTGCTAGCAGAGTGCTCACCAGGAGGCCCCCCTGGGACAGCTGCAACCTCTTGTATACTTCCCGCCCACCCAGGCCAGGTGACTGGGGAGTGGTACACGAGGTCACTGGACGGTGGGGGAAGAAAGATTCAAGTAAGCAGGTGACCCTGTTCACCCCTACCGTGCACTCATTGACCTTCATGTCCAGGAAACAATGCTTGGGTGGAAAAAAGTCACTAATCTGGTTACTTTGGGGGAGGAGCTTCTTGGTTCCTGGCAAAAAGACAAGCCAACCCAGGCTCAGTGCGTGTGGATGGGGAGGGCCGCTGGGGGTGGGACAGGCAGGCGTGAAAAGAACTGGGTTGTACTGACCACCGTTCGTTGCGTTTCCTCACCACCTGCTGCTGGTTCCCTGTGTTGGGAGAGAGAATTCGAGCAGGAATTTAATTTGTTTTAGTACAACAGCAATTTAAGAACTCTGGAAAACAAAAAGGGTCAGTAATTCCACTATTCAGTGCTAATCACTATTAATGTTTTAAAGTGTATTCAAATCCTTTCCTTACATGGCTGTGGGTATGTGGGGTGGGAGTGTATTTCCTAAAAAGATAAAATCCAGGCATGATGCATTTCCCTCTCCCTACATCACATCCAAATAAGAGTTCTGACTGCTTTGACACCAAGAGGCTCTGGGACCTGAAAGTGTAGTGAGGGGCTCCTGGTCCCCTAGCGGCCATCAGGGACTCTCCTGACAACTGAGGGAAGCTGCTACCTGGGGGGAGAGGGGTCCTAGGTGTTCTTGTCCACTGAAGGCTGAGGGAGCATGAAAAGGGATGAGGGAGAAATAAGGTGGCGGAGGGGGCTATGGCAAAGGAGAAGGAGTCAGGGGAGAAAGCCAGCGGAGAGCAGGCAACTCCTTAAAGATCAGGGGTACGGCTGACCCTCGAACAACACGAGGTTAGGGGCACTAACCCCCCAAGCAGTCAAAAGTCCAAGTATATATTTTTGACTCCCCCAAACCTAACTACTAATGGTCTACTGTTGACTACAAGCCTTACCCATAGCAAACTATCGACTGGCACATATTTTGTATGCTATATGTATTATATATTGTATTTTTATAACAAAGTACGCTAGAGGAAATACATTGTTAAGAAAATCATATGGAAGAGAAAATGTGTTTACAGTACTGTACCGTATTTATCAAAAACTATCCTCATAGAGGTGCACTTGTGAATGGGGCACCTGGGTGGCTCAGTTGGTTGGGTGTCCGACTTCAGCTCAGGTCACGATCTCACGGTTCGTGAGTTCGAGCATCGGGCTCTATGCTGACGGCTTAGAGCCTAGAGCCTGCTTCAAATTCTGTGTCTCTCTCTCTTCCCAATCCTCCCCCACTCATGCTCTGTCTCTCTCTCCTTCAAAGATAAATAAAGACATTAAAAAAAAAAATTTAGAATTGGACCTGTGCAGCCAGCCTGGGCCAGTGAGAGGGTGAAGACCCAGAGGGGGGCACCTGTTGCTGAGCCCCCCTCTCTCCCCAACCCCAGCCCCAAGGACGGGGCCCTTGGTGGCGAGCCCCCCTGTACCTGCTCTGTGCGGCTCTGACTGGGCCGGCCCCTCCCCGCCCCCACCGCCTCCAGGATTAGCTTTATGGGTTGAGTATTTCTTAGGCGGGCCTCCTTCCTCTGCCAGTCCCTGCTTATCAGAGCATCTACAACCCCCACCTCAACCTTATCACTCAGTCCATCTCCTTAGACTGGAAGTCCCAAGGCTTCAGAGGCCATTACCATCCCACACAGCCCCAACCCCCAGCAAAGCAGAAAGTTGCCCTACAAGGTGACCCCCCTCCCCTTTCCCAGCTGGCATCTCCCTACCACCTGGGTGAGAGCATGGTTCCTCCTGGTCTCTGGCATCCCCTCTCCCTTTCCTTATTTGTTTTCCTTTCAATTCCCCTTCTATAAAGGTCACTTTGTCCATCCTTCAATCTTGTAGTAAAAGAAGAGGGGAGTCCCCTGCTCCTGAAGACCCCCCAAGGTCCTGTGTCCCCCCAAGTCTCTCACATCTGTACAGACCGAAGATTCAGAAGAAAAAGCAAGTTATGGCGGATGATTTGGAGCTAATTTTCCAGCTTTAAAGCCAGTCTAGTTTTGTTACTAGCCGTGGGCCATCACCCTCCCTCTCTGTGCTCTGCCCTTCTCTTTAGAAAATTAGGAGAGCCCTCAGCCTATTCCCAGGTACCGCATCTGTCTCTCGGGTGACTCGAATTCAGTAACAAGCATTTCCAATCAGAAGAGAAATAGAAACCACCCTATTAGAAAATAACACAAAAGGTGATGTGTCCTCAGTCCTGCCTCATCATTCCCGAAGAGAGTCCCCAGATTTCTCTGTCCACCACCTCGGCTCAGCTCCTGCTGTTCCAGTTCTGGGGTCTCCCCTGACTGGGGCTCCACAAAGCTGGGAAGGAAGAGAAGTTTCACTGAGGACGTGGCCTGGAAGCCTCCGGGAGGCTGGCTGCAACGTTGAGAACAGAGACAACCACAAAGACCGCAACACAGACAAGCAGCGCTCAGGGCTTGGAGCCCATCTGCGGAAGGAGAACCAATAGTCACTGAACTCTTATGCTCAGGCTTTACAGACACATGAGACAGTACAATTATTGGCCCCATTCTACAGTTTGGAAGACTAAGGCCTGGGAAGCTCACTTAACTGATCTGTAAGGGGCCAAGAGCCAGAGTTCAAACCAGGACCTGCCTGATTGTCAAGCTGGAGGGCTTTTACTTTTCTACTTTCCTGTATCCCAGTAAGTGCTCACCTTGCATGTGGGGCCCACATTCTGGGCTTCATCCTTGCTCCCCCTCTACATCCCACAGTCTCCTAGCCTTCCCCTGTCTCCCCTGCAGCCCCAGCCCACTGCTGAGAAGGAAGTTCCCTCCTCCACCTCCCCTCCCAGCTCTAGAGCAGGTTCTGTGCCCGGGGGCTCTCTAGAGAGAGCTCCTCCCCTCCAGGTAAAGCCACATTCTCCTGGCAGGGCCCCCAGTCACCTCACTGCATACACACACACTCCACCCACAAACTGCACGCTGTATCCACAAGTCACACTGGAGATACACTCACTCTCAGTCCCAACCCCAAACAGACCCCGCCTCCTCCTCTGTGGACTCCTAGACCGGCTCCTTTTACCACATTCCCTAACCTGCCAGTGCCTGAAAGAAGACGATATGGGGTCTCCTCCACCTAAGGCAGAGGGGCCCAGGGTCCAACTCCAGAAACTTCTGGCCTCCTGGCTGTTCAGAGAGCAGGACTGGGATCAGCATCTGGACGAGGCCCACATGCTGCAACAGAAGAGGTAGGCTGCCCCAGTCGTGCCACGTCCCACCTCCCCCTGATCCCCCAACCCTCTGATCCACTCCGCTGCTGTATCTCTGCTTGCAGCGGCCCAGCATTCAGTGTCAGGTGGTCGGGTGCACCCAGCCCACTCCTTCCGAACCCCAGCTGTCTCTGTCAGTGGGCAGGAGGAGACTCGGTGTAGATTCGAAGCCAGGGACAAAGTGACACTACAGCTCCAACCTGCCTGGCTGGTGGAGGAGGGGGCTGGGGGACAGAAAGGGAAGGGAACAGAAGAAGGATAGAAGAAAGCAGATTGGGGGAGGGGGAGGACAGGCAGGTGAAGGCTGGTGGGGAGCAAATTACCGGGGAAGGCACGAGATCCTGCAGGTTTTGGAAGACTTGTTGCCTGGAGAAAGAGCGAAGCATTCCCATTAGCGTGAAGGAAAATTGCTTGTGTGAAAAAGAGGAGGAGAGCTGTGTTCTGTAGAACTTCTGGAGCTGACCAGCTGATGAGGGAAACTCAGCTTATCTACCTTTTATTGAGTGTCTACTTTGTGCAGCGGAATGCTGGGTCGGGAGGATCATCGGTAGACTGAATGAGGCCTGTGCCTGCCCGGGGGATGCCTGCAGGTCAGGTGGGGCTGATGTGTTTCACGGAAAAGCAGCGGCCAGGGCGGGGACCTATATCCTGCAGGTGGGCCTCTGCCTCAGAGCATCTGGGGAACCTGTCACCCATCTGAGAGCTGCCTGGGGATGGGGTGAGCAGACAGTAGCAGGCCTGCGGTCCAGCCAGGGCTGGCCTCGTGGGCAGGTGGCCTCTACAGCGGCACAGGATCCCGTGTTGCAGAAAACCCCTGCACTTGGTTTAATGCGCTGCTGTGGTCAAGTTGAAATTCTTAATTTTCGAACAGGGAGTCCTACATTTTTCTTTCGCGCTGGGCCTCACAAACGGTACAGCTGGCTGTGGCTGCAGTCGGAGCTCTCATTTGGGAAAGGCTCTCTGCTTGCTCACCAACCCCCACCCCAGGCCCTGTGAGGGAACCTTTGGCCTCCCCACCTCCCTCGAAACTTCAGGGTGAGGCCAGGGCAGTCTTGGAGAGAGAGTTGGGTTCTGGACCTGCCCTCCGCAGAGGGCGGTGCGCTAGAGGCCTGGGCGCTGAGGCTGTGTGCGGTGCGTCCAGCACAGGGGGTGAAGCCAGGTTAGCCCTGGTTACCCTGAGCTGGGACTATTCACCCTGAGGGTCTAGGTGAGGTGGGGAGGGCGCTGGCCCTTACTCTGCTGGTCCCTCCTGAGAGTACTTTTCTAATGGGCAGACCTGAGCTCCACCTCAAGATAAAAACTTCTTCTTTAAATAAAAATGTTCTTCCCCCTGGCTCACAGGGCAATTGGAAGAGAGGATGGGGGACCTGGGGACACCAGGGGAAGCACTGGTCAGTCTGTTTGCCTCTCATTTCTCCCCTCGTGACCCTCCCCTGCCTTGTATTCACCCTGGGATCTGATTTGTGCCTGCAGCTTTAGCTTTTTGGTTCATCCAGGCAGGGAAGAAACAAAGATGAACTGACAAGAAGTGCCTTAGGACGGATACCTCCACAGGGCTTCTGCTCCTAGCTGCTAGGTTCCCAGAGGAGCCCAAGGCTATGATCCTCCTCAGTTATGAATGGGGTAAAACACGGAAGGAATCCGTCCTCCGCAACCCCGCCCCCCCACCCCCCACCCCCACCACACACAGCGTGGATCTGACTCTGAGCAGCCCTGAGGGGTATTTGGAATTTTGGCAGCTTGTAAATCGCCTAAGTTCCAACAGCTGGTCCCTCTCTGCCTCTCTGCCCCTCTGGTCTCTCTAAGGTCTCTCTAACTCCCTTAGCCTAAGGAGAGCTAGCTCAGCAGGCCTGGGAGCAGGGGTGAAAACATTTACTCAGCTTAGGTGGATTCAGCTAGGCCCGATGGCCTCCTGTCAGGGTCATCAGGGCCACCAGCTCTGCAGCATGGGCCCCTTCTGCCCCCACAAGTCTTCTGCCCACTGGAACCTTGAGGCCTCCCCCCACCCCCGCCAACCACCCCCCACCAGACTTGGGCAGAGCTGGCAATGACACAACCATGGGGGAAACTCTCACCCCAGTCTGACCCTCAGCTAGAGTCCAGTTAACGACTCCTTGCAATGTGTCACTGCACACTTTGTGTGACTCGTATCTGTTCCACATAGAGAAGGTCTCTGATCCTCTCTCTGCCTTTGGCCTCTCAGTGATTCTATCTCTACTGGACTCATGTTCATCTTCTCCCAGGATCCGAGAGTCTCCACTGCTTCAGGCAGCCAAGGAAAATGACCTGTGTGCCCTCAAGAAACTTCTGCTGGACCGAAGCTGTGATTTCCGACAGAGAGGTGGGTTGGGTGTGATGGAGCCAGGCCACCTGCCTTGCCTAGCCCCAGGACGCTGAGGATTTCTGCGAGGAAGCAGGGAGAGAGCCTTGAGCCAGAGCCCCTTCCTCAAGGTGCTCTTGGAGGTGTTTGACACTCCTCTCTTACTCCCCTCCAGGAGCCTTGGGGGAGACCGCGCTGCATATAGCGGCCCTCTATGACAATCTCGAGGCCGCCGTGGTGCTGATAGAGGCTGCCCCGGAGCTGGTCAAGGAGCCCACCTTGTGTGAGCCATTTGTAGGTGAGGAGCCCACACAGTAGTTCAAGGTGGAGACAGGTGTGGGAGAGTCTGATGTCACCTCTTAAAACGGGTCTCCGAAGGGTGGCCTGGGAAGAGGTGCTAGAGGGTTCAGGAAGGTTGCCCTTGAGTTGGAAGGCATGCATACGTCCCAGTCTTGGCCTTTAGCATCCGTGACTTTCTTTCTTTTTTTTTTTTTGAGATTCATCTCTTCATAGAGGGCTCCAAACGCAGCTGCCCTTTATTGATTGATTGATTGATTGATTGATTTATAATTTAAATCCAAGTTAGTTAACATATAGTGTAATAATGACTTCAGGAATAGAATTTAGTGATTCATCACTTACACGTAACACCCAATGCTCATTCCGACAAATGCCCTCCTTCATGCCCATCATTCATTTAGCCCATCCCCCCACCCAACTCCCCACCAGCAACCCTCAGTGTGTTCTCTGTATTTAAGACTTTCTTATGGTTTGTCTCCATCTCTGTTTTTATGTTATTTTTGCTTCCCATCCCTTATGTTTTGTATTTTAAATTCCACATGAGTGAAGTCACATGATATTTGTTTTTCTCTTATTTCTCTTAGCATAATACCCTCTAGTTCCAACCATGTTGTTACAAATGGCAAGATTTCTTTCTTTTTGATCACTGAATAATATTCCATTATATATATATATATATATATATACCACATCTTTAAAAAAAAATTTTTTTTTAACGTTTATTTTATTTTTGAGACAGAGAGAGACAGAGCATGAACGGGGGAGGGTCAGAGAGAGGGAGACATAGAATCTGAAACAGGCTCCAGGCTCCGAGCTGTCAGCACAGAGCCCGACGCGGGGCTCGAACTCACGGACCGTGAGATCATGACCTGAGCCGAAGTCGGCCGCTTAACCGACTGAGCCACCCAGGCGCCCCGGTACCACATCTTCTTTATCCATTCATCAGTCGATGGACATTTGGGTCCTTTCCATACTTTGGTTATTGTTGATAGTGCTGCTATAAACATTGGGGTACATGTGCCTCTTTGAATCAGTGCTCCTGCATCCTTTGGATAAATACCTAGTAGTGCAATTGCTGGGTCATAAGGTAGTTCTATTTTTAATTTTTTGAAGAACCTTCACACTGTTTTCCAGAGTGGCTGCACCAGTCTGCAATCCCACCAGCAGTGCAAAACGATTCCTATTTGGGGCACGTGGGTGGTTCAGTTGATTAAGTGTCCAACTTCAGCTCAGGTCATGATCTCGCGGCTGGTGAGTCTGAGTCCCATATCGGGGTCTGTGCTTACAGCTCAGAGCCAAGAGCCTGCTTCACATTCTGTGTCTCCCTCTGTCTCTGCCCCTCCACCTCTAGTGCTCTGTCTCTCAGAAATGGATAAACATTTTAAAAGAAGGTTTCTCTTTCTCCCCATCCTTGCCAACATCTGTCGTTGCCTAACTAAATTGTTAATGTTAGCCATTCTGACTGGTGTGAGGTGGTATCTCATTGTGGTTTTGATTTGTATTTCCCTGATGATGAGTGAGGTTGAGCATTTTTTCATGTGTCTGTTAGCCATCTGGATGTCTTCTTTGAAAAAGTGTCTATTCATGTCTTTTGCCCCTTTCTTCACTGGATTATTTGTTTTTTGGGTATTGATTTTGATAAGTTCTTTATAGATTTTGGATACTAACCCTTTATCTGAGATGGCATTTGCAAATATCTTCTCCCATTCTGTTGGTTACCTTTTAGTTTTGCTGATTGTTTCCTTCACTGTGCAGAAGGTTTTTATCTTGGTGAGGTCCCAATAGTTCATGTTTGCTTTTGTTTCCCTTGCTTCCCAAGACATGTCGAGTAAGAAGTTGCTGCAGCTGAGGTCAAAGAGGTTGTCGCCTGTTTTCGCCACGAGGATTTGGATGGCTTCCTGTCTTATCTTTAGGTCTTTCATCTGTTTTGAGTTTATTTTTGTGTATGGTGTAAGAAAGTGGTCAAGGTTCATTCTTCTGCATGTTGCTGTCCAGTTTTCCCAGCACCATTTGCTGAAGACACTGTCTTTTTACCATTGGATATTCTTTCCTGCTTTGTCAGAGATTAGTTGGCCATACATTTGTGGGTTCATTTCCGGGTTCTCTATTCTGTTCCATTGATCTATGTGTCTGTTCATGTACCAGTACCATACTGTCTTAATGATTATAACTTTGTAATACAGCTTGAAGACTGGGATTGCAAGCATATGTGACTTTATTTAGCCATTCACTGTTTCCTTTCCTTTCAACTCCTCTCATGTTCCCTGTAGGACAAAACTCTGTTTCTTTCTCTTATAGCAACATTACAGTGATTCCATGTACACCCTACCCACAACAGTCAAGAGGTGGGGACAGTGAGGTGGACAGCCTGTGAGACAAATTGCCCTGAGTCTCAGGCCACTGTGCTAAGCCAAGGGCAGAAATCTATGCCAGGACCTGTCAGGGACCTCCTGCCTGCCAGTGAGATGTTGTGTCCTTGGAAGAATTGGGGACAGCCCCATCACTGAGACGTCTCTCTCTCTCTGGGCCAGGTCAGACCGCCCTGCACATAGCCATTGTGAACCAGAACGTGAACTTGGTGAGAGCCCTGCTTGCCCACGGGGCCAGCGTGTCTGCGAGAGCCACAGGCACGGCGTTCCGCCACAGCCCCCGCAACCTCATCTACTTTGGTGAGAGCGGGGCCGGGGCTGGGAGGAAGGGACATCATGGAGGTGGGCAAGAGCAAAGGGAGGGTGGGCCGAGGAGGGCCGGAAGCAGCTGGGCCTTCCAGGGTTTCAGGCCAGAGCCAAGCCTCCCCGCGCCGCGTGCTCCACCCCTGCCTCTGCTTCTGCTGACGAGTGTCCCCGAGCCCAGAGCTGCCACGCGAGGGCAAGGAGGCAGTCACTCGGGGACACTGCCCATCCCCCAGCCCATCGGACCCTCACGGCAGCGAGCCTTCTGTGTCCACAGGGGAGCACCCCTTGTCCTTTGCTGCCTGCGTGGGCAGTGAGGAGATGGTGAGGCTGCTCATTGAGCATGGAGCTGACATCCGGGCCCAGGACTCCCTGGGTAAGAGCTGGGGGCCGGGAGGGCAGGGGCCACCCCAGGTCGGGCAGGGCATCAGCGGGGACTTCAGCACAACGGCCACGTGACGCCCGCATCCTCCCCCAGGAAACACCGTGTTGCACATCCTCGTCCTGCAGCCCAACAAGACCTTTGCCTGCCAGATGTACAACCTGCTGCTGTCCTATGATGGGCGCAGGGACCACCTGCAGTCCCTGGACCTCGTGCCCAATCACCAGGGTCTCACCCCCTTCAAGCTGGCCGGAGTGGAGGGCAACACCGTGGTGAGGGACACTCCCCTGGCCCCATGGTGGCCTTTCAAAGACCCTTGGTGCCCAACTGCCCGGAGGGTGGGGCCCCTTCCTCCCTACTCCATCGCTAAATGCTCAGCCTCAGGGACCCCTGGGCGGGAGGCTTTGAGAATGTCGCTTTAGGACATCTGCTCTGGGAGCCTGGCGTTCTGTTCCCTTTGCCCGTCCTCCTCTTTCAGATCCTTATAGGGTGTGTGGGAAAGAAAGACAACCAGAAAAAAGGAGGCTCACGCAACTAACTGTCCATCAGTCGCAAAGAGCGGGCTGCAGCCTTTGTCAGCGGTGGAGACCCCCCCGGCCCAGCTTCTCACACTGACCCTCTGACTTACCACCGTGTCTTCTCAGATGTTTCAGCACCTGATGCAGAAGCGGAAGCACATCCAGTGGACCTACGGGCCGCTGACCTCCACTCTCTACGACCTCACCGAGATCGACTCCTGGGGGGAGGACATGTCCTTTCTAGAGCTGGTGATTTCCTCCAAGAAGCGAGAGGTATGGGTGCCACAGATGACCAGGGGCTGTCAAGTGTCTGAGCAAAGCCTGTCCATTTGCTTACATCCTGGGCTCCAGACACTTCCCTGATTTATAATAAATGGAGATGAGAACCGAACCATGGAGCCTTTGGGAGATAAGTCCAGTCTGACTGCGTTCTCCCTCTGCCCAGCTCCAGCCCTTTCTGCTTACCTTTCTCATACTAACCTTTTAGCTGAGGGACTCTCCAAATGGAAGCTGCTTTGTAGCATTCATTCATTCATTCATTCAGCACACTGAGGACCTTCTGAGTCCCAGCTGCTGTATAAGGAACTGAGAGTACAGAAATAAATCAATCATAGTTCCTGTCTGCTTCCTCACACCCCACTCCCTGTCTTCAGGAAGTGCAATGGAGTACAATGTATGCCACCATAGGAGTCTGCACCATGCACAGTGGCAGCAACACTGAGGTCAAGTGACTTGTCCTGGATGGGCCAGGAAAGATGTCACAGAGGAAGGGCTTGAGCTGGGTCTTCTAGGGGAGCTGAAATTCACCAGGAAGAGGAGGGGAAAGAGAGCTCCCCAGAGAGCGGGAAACACGTGCGACATTCTGATAGTACTGAATTGAGTGAACGGTAGGAAGGGAAAATTTGTCGAAGACTCTAGGAGCAAGGAGCAAATGCTTCGGGTCCTCGGAAACTTCCAAAATAGTGGCAAGATAGAATTTCTGTTGTTTATCTGCAACCTGACAATTTCCTAAGAACCTATCTGCCATAAAATGCAGGCAATCGTTAGTAAGAGAGAACTTGAAAGGTCACTTTGTGTGATCTTACTCAGAGAATATTCCTGGAAACAGATAAACTTCTATCAGGATTTCTTAGGAAATAGAACGCCAATCCCGCTGTGTGAATTGTGCCTACATAAATCCTTGATGTCCGGTTTCAGTGAGCTCTCGGTGTTCACCAGGTTTTATTCTTGTCTTAGTCAGCTACTTTTCCTTTCCTTCAAAATTCCTAGCCCTTTTTACAACTCTCATAGCCTTCCCCCCTTAGTTCCCTCGAAGCCCAGATTCCTACATTATGGCAAAAATTGAGGCTCTCTGCAAAAATCGGGTTCCTCCTACTTCCTGCCTTGAGCTGCCAAATATATCAGAAACTGCCCACCATCTCCTTCCCTCTGGGATCAGCAGAAAAGGTATTCTGTTGGCTAATGGTTCATTCCTACAGCTATGGTTTGACTTTTGCCTTTTCTTACTTTCTCAGATGCCTCATCCCCTCCACCCCCCACTCTCATTTGTGCTTAACCCCTTGCTGTGTACTTCCATCAGACTCCAGCCCGCCGCGGAGGCTTAGATGGTTGCCTCATCCAACTTTCCGTGCCTCTACTGCTCCCCTCCAGTGCCTAAGACTTGCAGAGAAAATAGGACCACTTCCTTGCTTGAACCCCCTGTGCTCCCTATTGCATTCGGAAAGATAATTCAAACTCCCCACTGTGCTCCCAATACCTGATGGTCTGACTCTTATTTACGTCACCCCTTACAACTCCTGCCCGCCACTCCCCATGGGTCTTCTCACGTCCCCAGATGCACCTTGTTTGCAGATGACCACCTCTCTCGCCTGGCTGCCTTGGCGACTGCTGCTGCTCGTGGACTTATCTCTAACTCCCCCTTCTTTCTACTAACTACTGCTTATCCCTCAAAGCCTCATTGGGGTTCTGGCGTCTCGTGCTTACTTCTTTAACAGAATGAATGGTGATGATGCTGTTGTTGCACTGCCCTCTGGGACCTGGCGGGAAATCCAGCACTCCTCACCGTGCCAGTCACCCCCTGCCCCCCAACCTATGCACTGCTTCCATGGTAGGCTCGCCAGATCCTGGACCAGACCCCAGTGAAAGAGCTGGTGAGCCTCAAGTGGAAGAGATACGGACAGCGGTACTTTCACATTCTGGGTGCCTTGTACATGCTCTATATGATCTGTTTCACCGCCTGCTGCATCTACCGCCCCCTCAAGTTCCGCTTGGGCAACCGCACAGATCCCCGGGACAACACAGTCCTCCAGCAGAAACTGCTGCAGGTGACTCTTCCTGGAAGGGGATGGAAGGGAGTGGGAGCGTGGGGTGCTGGTGCTGGGCGCCTGAAGGATACCTACCCAGTCCCTACCCTGAAAGGCACTACTCACTGGGCTCCAGCGGCTACAGGCTCCTGGTCACGCAGACAGAAATTCGGCATGAGATAGCCGACCAAAAAGGGAGCTTAATGAGTAAAAAACACACTTACCCAGGGACCTGTGGTTTTCCTCGCTAACCCTGAAAGAATACTTGCTGTTACGAACACCATACATTTGTGAACTTCCTTATAATTCGCAAGCCCTATTGTTCAAAAGGGAGGAAAATCATACTCCAAGTACATTTCTGAGTCCATTTCTGGTCTGTTAGGGCAACATGGACGTCCCTCCTGGCCTGCCCTCTCTTCTGTGTACCGTCAACATGAGGGCATTGGCAATCCTGTGTCAGCTGTCAGACCACCTGTCAGGTCCCCTGCACAAGGTCCCTGGATTAAGTAGCAGGTTGAAGTAAATAATTTCTGAGGCTCCTTTTATGCCTGTGGGCTTGCCATTCTGTAGTGTTGTTCAGAGACCCAGGGTGGTAAGGATGGCTGGGCAGAGGTGTAGAGTAGCTGTAAGAGTCTGCTGTTGATGGGAGCAAACTCTTCCTCTCGGGTGACGACATTAGTAGGCTCTAATGGGAGCCCCTGAGCATCTACAGTCAACGAGTGTGGCTACTTTGGGTTGGTTTACAGTTCGTGGCTAACCACAATTTTTGTCCCGGGAACCTGAAATAGCCAAAGGTGGGTGCAGGTATGTGGGCAGAAGGCAAAAGAAGGATTTTGCCAGGCGAGTAAGAGCTAGGTGACTGGAGATTTATGTTCCATGGAGGATGGGCCAGCCACAGGTATGGCAGCCTCAGCTAGGAAGAGGGGTAGTTCGGGTCAGAAAGAGAACATAAGTTGCTTGCTTCGTCTAGGAACAAAAACCCCGAGTCAAGTTAGGCCAGAGAGAGTGGGATACACAGAGAAACAACAGGGCAGAGCCTCATTAAACCGCAGAGTTGGTCACAACACTCCACCTCGCTTGCTCCTGTAACTGCCTCTCAGTATATATTCAGCGTGCTCGTGTATCCAGAGCTTGTCTCTGACAAAGGAGGGTTTGCTGCCCAGAGAGAATGATCCTGAGTGTGGAGTGGCTGCCCTGTTACAGCGGGCACCAGTGTGCTGGGGGGAGGTTGTATTCCATGCATCTCAAATTGGGCACAAAGGCTGGCCCTGGTGTGGAACCCACACAGGGGGAAGTAAGGACACTGAGAAGATGGCCAAGTGAGATGGGTGGGAAACTAGAAATGGGGAAAATGCACACCCATGAATGAGCTGAGGGTGACTGGGCTTTTCCAACATTCTAGGCCCTATTTCCCAGATGTGTTGTTCTCCCAGTCCCCCTTTGTCTCAAGCTTACCTAGGGATTTTCTGGATTTAGATTGTAGATAACGTTCTGGCCTGAGAATTGGGTGATAACTGAGCAATTGAGTACTCTAAGTCTCCTCCCTATGTGCCCCTTTCTGTTTAGGACATGACTAACATGTTTTTTGACCCAGATAGTCTATATTAGGAAGATCCCCTCCCCTTGCCTCAGGACTAGGTGAAGCATAGTTTTAGCTAAGACAACCTCCTCATCCTTCTCTTTTCTTTCCTCTTTCCTTCCGTTCTTCCCTGGTACCACTTTTACCCTTTTGTCTTTCACTTAGATAATAGCTACTTTAACCCAAATAGAAGACTATTGACTTTCAAATATTCTTTTCTTGGTCAGGGGAGAGAGGCTAAGGGTTACAAATGGTCTTATAAGAGGATCGGGTAGCAAAGACCACCAATGGAAGGTCCCTGTTGTTTGGTGTTACCCCTTGAGCCTTGTCCTGAATTTATGGAATATCTGGGTCCTCTTATTCAGTAAATAAATCAATCTGGATAATATCAGGGGCTTCTCAGCTGATCACCATGATCTGAAAGATCCTGATTTCATGATGTACTGGGCTTATTAAATAATAGGAAATTCTCTTTTTTTCCTACTTTATATTACTTGAGAGTCTTAGAGCAATGAAAATGCACCAAGTGTGCCTTGGTTTGATTTTTTAAAGTTTATTTATTTGTTTTGAGAGAGAAAGAGCATGGGAGCATGAGTGGGGGAGGGGCAGGGAGAGAAAGGGAAAGAGAGAATCCCAAGCAAGATTAAAAAAAAATGTTTGTTTATTTATTTTGAGAGAGAGAGAGAGAGTATGTGAGCTGGGGGAGGGGCAGAGAGAGAGGAGACAGAAAATCCCAAGCAGGCTCCACACTGTCAGCGCAGAGCCTGATGTGGGGCTCAAACTCACAAACCATGAGATCATGACCTGAGTGAGCCAAGGTTGTGCTTAACTGACTGAGCCACCCAGACACCCCTTAACTTGATTCATGCAATTGTTGACTGTTAGTTGGCCCATGGGGATTTATCTTAGACAAATGAATACTTTAATATCCAATTATACTAATAAATTGGACGCACAGGGCTCTCAGTCACAGAAGAATTTTCTCTGTGGATCTCATGGGATCCAGAGAAGTCACTGTGCTCCATGAGAGCTGCCCAGCCTCACCTTCTCAGGACAGTTGAAATGAATGGAAAAACTCATCTATTTATATGCAACAAAACAAACTACACAAAAGCAGACATCCACGAGGATGGAGTTAGTGTGTCTCTGTCCAGTTTTGGGGCTATCTTAAGGGGTTACTTCACTCTAAGATGCCTCATTGTTCAGTCATTAAAGCTGTGCTTCCAGAGTTTCCTAAGCATGCTATTAATTAACTGGATTGATCTCCTACCTCCATTCAATGTCTAGTTGGTTTAGCAGAATGACATGCATTGCAGTCCTAGTTCTCTTGGGTTTCCAGGGGAGCAGAAAGTTCAAAGTGTGGGAGTCAGGTGGCTTGGGTTTTAGTCCTGGCTTTGAAACCAAATAGTTATTTGACCCTGCACAGATCCTACCTCTTACTAGATTAGTGACTTTTCACCAAGAAGGGAAGCTGGTGAAAACACTGGTTCCTAAGCTACACCACACCTAATAAATCAGAATGTCCATTGATGGTATTTTTAAGAACTCTCTGAGTGATCGTAATATTCAGCCAGGGCTGAGAACTACTGGCTTCCATTTCGGGTATCTATTCGTCTCTAACTTTCCAGTCTTAAGTCAATCACTCTGGTCCTTTAGATTCCTGATGTGCTGTTTAGCAAAAGGGCATTGCTCTCTCATCAAATTTCCTTTTTGTCTCCTGAAGATTTCCTCCATCTCTCCTCTGCCTACCGAACCTAGACATTGTTATAGGTGTTAGAAATTCAACATGGTCTGAGCAGAATACACACTATCTCTCTGCCCTTTTGCAGTCTACAGACTGGTGTACATTAATTAAAGGAATAGATATTTCATTACAATCCATCATTGTTACAATTCACAATATTTTTTCCTCTGGTAAGGAAAAGGACAGGATGCTAAGAGAGCTTACAGCAGGCGCCTGGGCATGCTGAAAAGCCAGAGAAGGTTTCCCTGAGGAAGACACCTAAGCTGAGAGAGCTGGATACCAGTTAGAGGTGAAAAGTTAGTTCTAGGCAGAAAGAATGGACACACAAAAGCCCTGAGGCAGGAAGAACTTTGCCAACATCTGAGGACTGAAAGAAGAGCTAGAACACAGGAGCCGCGGTGAGGGCCTCCGGATGAGATTGTCCACGTGGATCCTTCTCAAATCGTGAAGTGCCTTGTAGGCCATATTGAAGATTTTACTCTCTATCTCAAAGGTAATGGGAAGCTGAGAAGGATTTAAAAATTTTTTTTGGTGTTTATTTATTTTTGATAGAGGCAGGGAAAGGAGAAGAGAGAGGAAGACACAGAACCCAAAGCAGGCTCCAGGCTCTGAGCTGTCAGCACAGAGCCTGATGTAGGGCTCAAACTCACAAACTGTGAGATCATGACCGAGCTGCAGTCAGTCACCCAACCAACTGAGCCACCTAGGTGCCCTCAGAAGGACTTTAACTAGGGGAGGGACTTGACAGGACTTATGGTTTAGAAAAATGTCTGCGTAGGATGGAGAACAGATTTGAAGGGGCCCGGTGGATGTGGGGAGACTAGTAAAGAGGCTGTTCTAGTTCGGCAAGTGAGAGATAATGGTGGGTAGGCCTGGGGATGTGCTGGGGGTTGGCATCACTACTGTACAATGGATTTGGTGCAGGGAAGAAAGGAGAAGACTGTGGCAGGAACGACTCATAGGTTTCCGTTCATTTAAAAGCATGAAATCTTGCCATTTGCAATGACGTGGATGGAGCTTGAGCGTATCATGCCAAGAGAAATAAGCCAGTCAGAGAAAGACAAATACCTTGTGATGTCACCCAAAAGTGGAATTTAAGAAACAAAACAAAAGAAAAAAAGAGATAAACCAAAAAGAAAAGAAAAAAAACCACTCTTAACTACAGAAGACAAACAGATAGTTAGCAGATGGGATGGGTAAAATGGAGGAATAAGAGTTCATCTATCTTGATGAGCCCTGGGTGATGTATAGAATTGTTGAATCACCATATTGTACTTCTGCAACTGATTTAACACTATATATTAACTAAACTAGAATTAAAATGTTTTAAAAGAAGAATAGAAAGTAACCCTGCTATAAGAAAGAATAACTAAGAAGACAGCAAACAAATTGAATAATTCAGAAATAATTTATTAAATATTTGCTTTGTGTGAAAAAAAAAGAAATTGTCCTCTACTTGTCATGGTCAGTGGGAGTGATCTTTTCACATCGTTACTCCTCACAAGCTCTGAAAAACCCAAAGCACCACAGCTATTTGAAAAACCCAACTGACCTCCAGCTGTACACAACTTTGTTCAGCGTTCCTAACCAACTTACTGTGAGACAAGCACAGCAAATTAAAGAAGAAAAGAGGCGAGGAGAAGTAGGGAGCCTGGTAGGTGAAAATAGCATCTAACTGAGCATCAAACTTAGTGCTTG